ATTTTAATTCGTGACGGGCCGCATGCGGGCCGCGGGCCGTGGGTTGAGAACCACTGGCCTAAAGGATAAGCACTAGTAGCTAATGAATAAGTACTAGCACCTAATAGAACAGATACTAGTAGCAAAAAAAAAAAATCAGTACTAGTAGCATGAAAATAGATATTAGTATGTTTTAAGGATTAAATATTAAACAGCTTTCAATATTAGTACTAGTAACTAAAAAATAAGAACTAGTATCTAGTACTAGTCTCTATTAAAATGTACTAGTACCTAAAGGATAAGCAGTAGTAGCTAATGAATAAGTACTAGCACCTAATGGAACAGATACTAGTAGCAAAAAATAAAATAAAAATCAGTACTAGTAGCATGAAAATAGATATTAGTATGTTTTAAGGATTAAATATTAAACAGCTTTCAATATTAGTACTAGTAACTAAAAAATAAGAACTAGTATCTAGTACTAGTCTCTTTTAAAATGTACTAGTACCTAAAGGATAAGCAGTAGTAGCTAATGAATAAGTACTAGCACCTAATGGAACAGATACTAGTAGCTAAAAAAATCAGTACTAATCACATGAAAATAGATATAGTACATTTAAAGGATTAAAGGTTAAGTTGGCTTGCCATACAGACACAAATGGATTAAAGAGAAGCAACACTGGATCTTGATCTCACCTTGTCGGAGGCCAGGATCTTGAAGGAGGCCATGACCTGTTCAGCAGTGTCTGTTTCAGCGGTCTCGCGTGTCATGAAGTCGATGAAGGCCTGGAAGGTCACTACTCCCGTGTTGTTGGGGTCCACCAGGGTCATGATGCGGGCGAACTCCACCTCACCCTGACAGAAACGACCAATCAGGTTCAAGATACACATTTAATTCTGTGCTTATTGGTGTCCAGCAAAGCACCTACTGAGATTGAAATTAATCCTGGTAGATGTTGGCAAAATATAAATGATTCATTATGAGGTTTGCTGCAAAAATTATGCTTAACTAAAAAGAATGAAGCCTTTTAAAAAGATGCCAAATTAACAATAAAAAAAAAATCGTTTTTGGCTAACAAAATATTCAACTGTGTGATAGGCCTACCTTTATTTTGGACGTTTTTTAAATTAAAAAAAAAATTGTTTATAATATTTTTTTTATTTTTTTTACATTTTTTATGTTGAATCATGTTTCCAAATAATATGACACAAAAATGTATTTATACTGTTGACAAAGTATTTGAGAATTAAAAAAATACACTACAGTTCAAATGTTTGGGGTCATTACGATTTTTTAAAGAAATGTATATTTTTATTCTGCAAAGATTTATTATATTGTTCAAAATTGACTTTAAAAAGACATTTTTAACGGTACAAAAATTTCAATTTCAAATAAATGCTGTTTTTCCTATTCATCAAGAAATCTCGAAGTAAATGTATCACAAAAATATGAGGCAGCACACAACTGTTTTCAATATTGATAAGTTTCTCAAGCAGTAAATCAGCATATTAGAATGATTTCTGAAGATCATGTGACACTGAAGACTGGAGGAATGATGCTGAAAATACAGATTTGATCACAGGAATAAATTATATTTTATAATACGTTCAAATAGAAAACACTTATTTGAAATTGTAATAATATTTAACTATTTTTACTGTATTTTTGATCAAATAAATGCAGCTATAGTGAACGATCCCAAATTTATGAACTGCATGTGCCATGTAGTTTGGTAAGGATGAAGGATTTTGTCACAGTGCACTTGTAACATTGATATAGATGATTGTTAGTGGGCGGAGTTTTCTCGTCACTCACCAGATCGTAACCCATAGAGATCAGACATGCGCGGAAATCATCGGGGTCCATCATGCCGTTTCTCTTCTGAAAGTTAAAAACAGTAATGAGTCCCCTTGCATACGGTCACACATGAGTGTGGATGAGCATCTCACTGACCCTGTCGAAGTGGTTGAAGGAGGCTCTGAACTCATTGAGTTGCTCCTGGCTGATGCCCTTGGCGTCGCGGGTCAGGATCTGGTTCTCCACCTCGTTGATGGTGCGAGCGATGGTGGTGAGCAGCTGCTCCCAGCCCACACGGATGTGCTGGAGGAGGGAATGACGGATGATGCCAGAAACAGTGCCATCTTGAATTGTTGCAGGCTCTTGAACATTCATCATTCCTCTCATAACACTTAAGTGTTCTGTGTGTAATGTGGATTTGTTATGCAAGCTCTGGTTAATTGTTTTAATTTTGGTGAAGGCATTATACAAATAAAACTTTATATTATTATTAAACTAAATATTATTATGAACACTGTCATTAAAATATATAGGGGAGACTAGGTTTATCATTAATGAATTGTTAAAAAAAAAAAAGAAAAAAGTAAATTATCTTTCGTTTGTTTGCTGTTTGCAGATTTTTTTTCTTTGTGATTCATAATAGTTTTTCTATTTAAATTTAGCTAAAAATGTATTTTAAAAATGAACAGAAAATTTAAAACATTAAATACATACATGTTTTGACTTTTTTTACCTTAGTTTTTATATTTGAAAATAATAAAAAAAATAAAATAAAATTTACTATAATAAAATCATGGATAATTTTTGTAAGGGAAAAATATGACTCATGTTCAGTATTATGATTTTTCTATAAAGATATTGTAATAGTTATTATTGTACTAATTTTGACATATAGGCAATTTAGAAAGAATAATTTTGTTAAATCTTGAGTATTAAAGTCATGTGAGAGACATAGAGATATCAGGGCAAAATAAAGAGACTGAAAATTAAAATGGAAGTGAAGGTGCAGTTCAGGAGAGAACTTTTAATTATTTTGCATGTCCCCAGCCTAAGGAGTTTTTGTGATGGCCATACAAAAAATAGGGTTGTCTGTGTTTTAGAATTTGTTTGGGTGTATGGGATGGCCTGGATGAGTGTGAGATTTCCCAGCCTGAAATATCCTCCTGAGACCCAGCTATGGAGTTTTTGCCTCTGTAGTGGACATTATATTTTAGTGAATTTCTCTGAAATCCTGAAACCTAAAAATTGATTGGTGATTTAAAAACAATTCCCATTGTTTTTGCCTTTTCATGTCTATTCTTGTCATTTTATTTTTTAGAAAAACTGAGTAACATATGAATAAAATATAATTTTTCAAAAATGATATTTTACCATTTTTTCTTATGCTCTAAACCAGTGTTTCTCAACCAGGGGTCCGTGGACCCCTAGTGGTCCTTGACATAAGGCCAGGGGGTCCGTATAAAGTATACATTTTTGTATAAATTTTGTATATTTTGACATGACATGTTCCCATGAAAGAAAAATCCAATATAGCTGATGATATGGCCAAATACTGGACAAGTCAGCTAACTTGAATTATACTTGACTGCATTTGGTCCTCACAAAGACACAAATGATACGAGTCAATTTTGTTCTGGGGGTCCTTGAGGATGGTTCTGAATTGGACTGGGGTCCGGTACGCCAAAAGGTTGAGATTCACTGCTCTAAACAATGTAATGACATGAAAAAATACTAAATTCACAAAGCTTTTTATTTCTGGTTCTCAGGAGGATATTTTCCCAATCCGCACCTCGTGGAAATGAATGGTGCAGATGCGCGGTTTCATTTAAGCGTGCATGTGTATCGCTCGTGGTCTTTTCAGCCATCTCAATATATATGAGTGCATGAACACACAAACATAATCTCTAGAACTGCTCTGAGTCACTTCATGAGCATTTTACAATTTCTTTATTATTAATTAATTATGATTATTGTTATAACCACATTTGGGTTGATGTATATGCTTTTACTTTATTTTTTCAATGAACTGTTTTTTTTTTCAAAGCATTGTTAGATGCAGAGTTTCCTGTAGTTATGTGAAGATTTGGTTTCAAAAACAGTATCAGTAAATTATTTCTTATGATTTTAAATCTGCATTGAACTTCAGATCAATCTCAAAGTAAAAGGCGGTACTAAAGTCTGATTTTGTAGTGGATGTGTTCAGTTATTATCATCTTAATTCAAGTGCTGAAGGATTTTGAAAGTCTGACAGTAATCAGTGTTGAGCACTACCGTAAGGTTAACGCTGCATGGTGTAAATGTTTGAAAATGATTAACAGTTGAAAACATTCATTAGAAATTTAGAAAAGTAATCAAAAAGTAATCAAAAGTAATCAGTTACATTACTTTAATAAAGTAATTTAAAAAGTTACACTACTATTACATTTTAAATAGGGTAACTTGTAATCTGTAACCTATTACATTTTCAAAGTAACCTTCCCAACACTGGTGACAACTTATCCCGCTATAGGACCAATATGTGTTTTAAATGACCTTTTTAAAAGCCCCCATAACACAAAACAAAATTTTGCACTAGCAATGATGTGATCCTTCTGAAAATGAAGCCTGTGTTTGTAACATTCATCCTCTGTATGAATACCTCCATGGTGTAGTTGGTGTGTTTGTTGTCGAAGACGAGCGCCTCCTGAATGAGCTGGTGATCTCCCTCCAGTTTGTCAATGTTGGATTTGTAGTTGATGATGTTCTGCTCGTACTGCTTCAGATTATTCATCTGTTCCTCCAGAGAGCCAGTGATATCCACCGACACGTGACCGATCTCCTAATAACAGCAAACCGAGAGAGAATAGGTGAACAAATGTGCATTAAAAGAGAAAAATGAAATCGCAAACAAGTCAAGAAGCTTAACCAAGCTAAACATATAACATATTCAATTTAAGCTAGCTGGCAAGGAAACATTTATATTTTTATTTAGTTTAAATTTATGCTTTACTTTTAGTTTCTTCCCAAAACTGATACCCTTGAAAGTTAAGTTTGCAGAAATGAACGGAGGCTTGAAGCAAAAGTGCCACTAAAATGATCAAAAATGCCCCCCAAATTCAAGAAAAAAAATGTCCCAGAACAACTAAACTAAATCTATTATGGCTGTCGAGATTAAAGTGAAATAATAAAAAAAAAAAAATAAAAAATGACAAAAATACCAAAATGTTGACTAAAATTAAAATGAAAACTGAAAATATAAAAATAATTCTAAATAAAGTGAAATTAAAAAAAAGCTAATAAAAATGACAAAAACACAGCAAAATGTCCAAAACTAACTAAAATTAAAATGAAAAATATGGTCACAACTTGAAAATTGTGTTTTTGGAAATGAATGGGGGCTAAAGTGCAACCAAAATGATCAAAAATGCCCCTCAAATTCAAGATAAAGGAGCAAAAAATGCCCCAGCAGAACTAAACTAAATCAAATCTATTATGGCTATTCAGATTAAAGTAAAATGTAAAATGAATGAAAAGTGTCCATTCGTGGCATGTTGCATCAGATTTCTTCATTTACTGCATATGAACTGGCAAAACAAATCAGTTGATTGAAAAGAAGAGTGGACGTTTGGGAGAGCGCGTTTGATTATTGCTTTTAGTAACTTCCCAACACTAATACCAATGTAACTTCCTTAAATCTGGTTCTTCACCCCCAACATCTCATGGTTTTGTGTTGAATAAGCTCACCTCCATCTTGGTCTGAATCCAAGGTCCGATGATGTTGGCCTGAGCGGCGAACGAGCGCCTCAGCCTCTCATTGGCCTGTTGCCTGGCAACCTCCTCCTGCAGCATCTGGTCTCTATGGGGAACCAGCTGCTTCACCTGCAGGGGGCGACAGATCAGAAACACACATCTGAGTCTCTTTATGCGTCCAGAAGTGAAGTAAATGACTAGCCATGAGCTTTGGACTGTGTTTGTACTCTGTACTCACAGCCTCCCATTTGTTGGTGATGTCCTGTGGGCTGAGGACCGTGTATGGATTGACTCCGACCAGCTTGATGCCGTAGGTCTGAGCAATCTTTGTGATCTCGTTCTGGATGCCCATGATGGCTATGCGCTCCTTATCGGCTTCTGGCAGGGTGGCCTTGTACTGGTCGTGAGCTGTTATCAGACTCTGAAAGACAAATGGAGATTAACAACATTACAGGTGTAGTTAAAGGGGTACTATTATGCTTTTTCACTTTTTTTCACCTTTAGTTAGTGTGTAATGTTGCTGTTTGAGCGTAAAAAAAGATCTGCAAGGCTACAAAACTCAAAGTTCACTCAAAAGGGTGATATTCTCTCTAACAGAAAACACTTCAAGAACTACAGCAAACGACTCGTTTGGACTACAGCACGCTTTTTTACAGTATCACTCATTTAAATAATTCCCGCCCACTGAATATGCAAAAAAATATTTTGCCTGGGTGAGCTGTGTTAGAGACCATAGACTGTGATGGCAAAATTGGCGCCATTGTTAATATTTACAGCTGAGCAGATGAAACTCGCTGTTATGGTAAGGGGCGTGTCATTTCCAGAACTCGCTCTGAGCGGTTCACCAATCACAACGCACTGGGCCAGCTGACCAATCAGAGCACATTTCGTGTTTCGGAAGGCGGGTCTTCATTGAAACGGGACCTAAACAGCATGTTCGAGACAGACTGGGAAGAGAGTTTGATTGACAGGCGATCTGACCAATCATAACGCTGAATCTGCCATTTTGTCCGACAAACAAACCAGACGGGAGGGTAGATTAACGTCGGTGGACTTGAAAAATGGTGTGTATTGACGTCTTTCCACATTTGAAACAAGATACGCAGTCGTGAAAGACAGTAATTAATTAGTTCGTAATTATACGAACCATTTTGACGACAGGCTTCAGAATGACCAAACAACAATTCCCATCGTGCAAATTCACATGATTTTTTGATGCAGATCAAGGAATTTATTTGGTAAAAGTAGGGGTGGGCAAAGCGAGGCTACATGAAACACTGAAACAGTCGAAGCAAATATGCCGATGCTTCGAAACAATTCGACACCCGTCTCTATGGTGACACCTAGTGGTAATTTTCAAGTATAGCTCTGAAACAGCATTGACAACGAATTAGTTGAGCGAATTGACGAATTATAACGTATATGTTGTATTCGACAGTCGAGTGGTTATTGTGCTCGACTGGCATGTTGTCAGAACTTGCCACTTTAGGTTTGAATCCCGAGTAAAGCATTATAATAAATATATTTAAAAGTTGGGCTTTTATTGTTCTGTTCTTGTAATGTTTTGTAACATCTCTCTGACAACTGAATGAACTCTTTATTATGTTATATGTTATTTTAAATATGTTATTTTGGTCATGAAAAAATAACATTAATAAAAGACATCAAGCCACAACGTCTGGCATTTTTTACATATAAAGATTTTTATTCAAATATATTAATTGTTCTGCTGCATTAACTCAACTTTTATACTTTGCGGGAGTTAGGTTAAGACATGTGCGATTGTGTGGTTTGCTCCCGACCCTGTCGATCAAAAGCAGATTCGGGTCTCGAAACACTCGGGAAACGCCCCGATGCTTTGATTCGCCTTAGTCACGTGACATGGGGGTTTCGAATCACACTTCGGAGCAGTGTTTTGAAACATCTGCGCTTCGGGATCTCGACACCGTGTCGAAACGTCAGTTTCACGTCAGCCATCTCTAGGTTAAAGTGTTTCCACTACTGTTTATGTGCACGTTTTCTTATCAGATAAAGATTATCTGACTCAGTTTAGTGCTTATGCACATTTTTAGAATTTACGTTCCTCTTGGCATTTCCATTCAGCCCTTTTTTATGCGATATCCCAAAATGCGCATAAAAATAGGTGGATGGAAACGTAGCTAATGATCTCCTTAATGCAACGCGATTTCTGCAATCTCGCAAATAGGCTACTTTCATCATAACCATCACAATGGAATCACAATATAAATAAAAGACTCATTGAGCAGTGTAAACTGTGTATAACAGGAGTTTTGGTGAAAACGCAGAAATCAAATCACTGATAGACTCGCACTGCTCCAGCGATTATAAAGAGATAGATCTTTAATTGCTTTATAGATCTATAGATAATATAGATAACAGACGCATCTCACACTACTAACAGGAACAGTGCGAAGTCTTACTTTGCCACAAAAAGTGTCTGTACATGAGCTGCTGCTCTCTACAGAAAATAACGTGTTTTCTGGGCTACTCACTGAGTGTTTTCCTTTAATAACCATCATAAATAATAAACAGTTATTCAGAATAGAAAGTGCTGTTCGTGTGCATGTCTTTTATCAAATAATGGGTGAGTAGTTTCACGTTGCTTCATAAAAGCCAGCACTGCACAAGATGGTGTTGATAAATAGGTTTGTAGTGCATTACAGTGTTTTCTGCTTCAGTTACATGCTACAAAAATAGACACTAAAAGTCTACAAATACGAAGCTTACGTATGCAGCCTGCGATGTGAATAATGCAGCCTGTAAATGTGGGCGCTGAAATAAATACACTCTGCTATGAAACAGGCCATATTATTCCAAATTCATCAGGGCATGTCATTCAAAAAACTGTTCATCAAAAAGTAAACACATTCTGCATCTCAGAAATGACATTTCCATTCTGCTGAAAATATTATCACATTATTTCATGCAGAATATTCTACTGCACTTGGAAATGCATCACATGACAGAAGTTAAATTAATTTCTAATGCTGTTTTGTGTTCGCTTTAAACCTGCACCAGTATTATTACAGAGCCTCGCATGACATGCGGACAAAAATACATTTATTGTGGCCACGAATTAATTCATTCCCTAGTTTTAGTAAATCATGGCCATGTTGTACAAATTCAGTCCCTCGTTTTGATTTAATACAAAAACATGGCCACGATTTACTAAAACGAGGGAACAAATTCATAATTTTGTGCATGTAATGTATAGTTTCATTATCGAACCTTATGACAATATTCAGGTCACATTTCAAATTTTATTCTAAAACCAAAAGAAAAAAGTAGTATACTTTAATTTTAGTAAACTTGAAGTATAGCTTCCAAGTATTCTTTATGTAGTAAGTATACTAATATGAATTTACTAGTAGCATACTTGTAAGTTGTAAGAGCACTGTTTCAATACTTCTTGGAACTAAATTAGCCCACTTTTAAGTTAATAAAAGTATACTTTTGAGTGTAGTAAACTTTAACTAGTTCTAAAATATTGGTAAAACTAAACTGTGAGTTATTACTATAAGTGAACTTGTGGATTTACTGTTAGTTCACTAGTTTTATACTTATAGCCAATTATTTTTGTTTAAGTACACTTTGAAGTATACTCTCAGTAAACCAATAGTCTAATAGTTTTTATATTATACTTTGTTATACTTTTATATTATATTATTAATCACAACTACAAGCCAAATATACTGAGAATACTTAACTATACTTTTCTTAAGCGTATGTATTTAAATATTTGAAATATATTTTAAATAATTTTTGCATAAAGCTTCACACTGCTGACCTGGATTTCCTCAATGCTGTGCACGATGAACATGTCCTGCAGATCCTCCATGGCTCCATCCATCCAGTTGTTGAAGGGCGCCGCCCTCTTGGCGAACTCCAGGTACAGCTGATCAATCGTCTCCCAAAGTTTTTCTACACGCTGCAGGATGAAAGAGCAGAATCAGCTCGAACCAGTTACAAATAATGTACTTTTCTACAAATACTAGGGCTGGTTTTCCAGTTGCACCTTTATAGTGGGCATCTAATATTTGCCTTCACACTGTAGCATGAGTTTGTTTGGAGTGTGTAAAGTGTTTGTGCACCTCTAGAGCGTCTCTTCTCTTCTGGGTCAGGGTTCCCAGGTTGTCCCACTGGTCACAGATGCCCTGGCAGCGGGTGTTCACTGAAGCAGCATCATGATAGTCTAACTCACTAGACAGAGAGTCAAACAGATCTGAGCACCTTGTATGGAGTTCCTGCATAAAGCCTGTTGTTTTAAATGTTGAACCCCATGAAAATGTCCAGGTTTTCACTCCAAAACCAAAAGAAGTATACCTCACAATCTCAGAAATAAAGGTACAAAAGCTGTCACTGGGACAGTACCCTTTCAAAAGGTACACCACTGTACCATATTTACCCCTAAAAGGTGCATATAAGTATCGTAAAGGTACATATTAGTACCTAAAGTGTACATATGAATTCCTAAACGGTACACATTTGAAAAGGCACCACCCTAGTGACAGCTTTTGTACCTTTTTTCCTAAGAATACTATATATTTACTAATATGCATGTAGCAAATGTATAAGTGCACTATTTCAATACTTCTTGAGACTAAATTGTCCCACCTTTTTAGTTCATAAAAGAATACTTTTAAGTGTTCCAGTAGTGAACTTTAACCAGAAGTAAAATCAGTTCACAATGTGTACTATACTACAAGTGAACTTATTTTTACTGTTATTTTTTACTAGTTTTAAACTATTAGCCCACGGTTTAGTTTATGAACGTACACTGAAGTATACTGTGAGTAAACTACTAGTTTAGTTGTTGTATTACACTTGTAAGTAAACACAAGCTAAGTATATTTAGAATACTTAATTATACTTTAAGTATATCTCAAAATCAAAAGATTATGTACAAGTAGGCCAAGTAAACATAGACTTTTAAGCTAAGTATACTTCAGTATAATTTTGCTAAGAATATCTCTAATGAATACTTTAAAAACAGATTGCAAGTATGCTCATTTTTAATGTTTAAAAAAAAGTATACTTATAGCACACTTGAATAAACTTTTTATTTCGCATTAAGAATACGAGGCTAGTTTATGACCATTTTGTGGTTTTATTTTTATGACAATTAAGCATATTTTCAGTGAAATTCTCAGTTACCACAATGAAACATTTTACTTTTGAGTTTCTTTTTTGGGTAATGACAGTTACTCTCAATGCTGATTCCCATTCCTGTATTTCAAAAGATACAATGTTATGTATTGTATACTTTTATTTTATTGTTTTATATTTATTTATTTTTTAAAATTATTTTTGCATAATGGAAATGAGAATTAATTACAATGAAAATCACGTCAAAATAGAAAAAAACAGGCTTTTTTTTTGTTTTTATACAAAATATTTTTTGATTTTGCATTGAAATATGAGGTTCGGTGAGGTTCCCCCATTAAAACGTTCTGTGTTACTTACTTCAGCTCTTGAGCGATGGCTGCAATCTGCTCCACTCGGTCCTGGTGGGCAGCCAGGTCGCTCTCAAACGCCTCGTGCTTCCTCATCAGAGCCCTGATCTCCATCAGAGAGGCCGTCTCATAGTCCTTCTGAGACAGCAGGTGCTCCTTTCCTGCAAACAGAGGCGTCAAATCAGAAATGCAAGAATGGTCGCGAGCTCTGAAATGATTATAGCATAGAGATATATGAAGCTCAGCTCACACAGAAGTCGATTTCAAACCAAGCAGCTTTCTGTTGGTTGGTTTTCTCTTGGATCCGTGCAATTTTGCAGTAAAACTCACCTACTCACTAGTCCACTTTAACAGCCTCTTGCAAACTTCCCATCTTGTAGAGTTTAATTACAGACTGAAAGTTGTTGGAAGCTTAGTGTTGGTGATGCTGTCATGTGACCGTGGTGCACTTCGTTTATAGCCTAACTTTAGATTCTTAATTCTGCTGATTCTTCTTAGGCTTCAAAGTTCATAAAATGTGTTCATTTGTGAAGATCTTGAAGCACAAAATATCTAAGAATTGTAAACTTTTGTTGCGATATCTTTCGCACTCGCATGAAATTCCAAATCACATGATTCCAATTAAAATGACGGGACTTCGCCTAAAAAAATGGCCAAACAATGATAAATGTGACCGCATCTTAAGGCAGACTGGTGTCAAGAGCTCAGAGTTTAACCTTTATATGAAAACAGTGGTGTATGCAATATAAAAATCACACATATTTGTGGCCCTGGACCACAAAACCAGTCATAAGTGTCATAATTTTTCAAAATTGAGATTTATACATCATCTGAAAGCTGAATAAATAAGCTTTCCATTGACGTAATGGTTTGTTAGGATAGGATAATATTTGGCCGAGATACAACTATTTGAAAATCTGGAATCTGAGGGTGCAAAAAAATCGAAATATTGAGAATATCGCCTTTAAAGTTGTCCAAATGAAGTTCTTAGCAATGAATATTACTAATCAAAAATTAAGTTTTGATATATTTATGGTAGGAAATTTACAAAATATCTTCATGGAACATGATCTTTACTTAATATCCTAATGATTTTTGGCATAAAAGAAAAATCGATAATTTTGACCCATACAATGTATTGTTGGCTATTGCTACAAATATACCCCAGCGACTTAAGACTGCTTTTGTTCTCCAGGGTCACATTTTATTGTACAATAGTAGATGTTTAACCAATTACTGATTTTTTTGTAAAGCTCCTAAAAGTGTGAAATGAACCAGTATTTTTGGGAATAGGAATGCTAACGCATAGCTTTCTCCAGGTATTGTAGACATTGTATGTTCATGTAGTGAGTAGACGAATTTTACTGCTTGGCCGAAAGATTTCCCCAAACTCGTTTAAAGTCCACTTTTACAGTCTTGATGTGTTTATACACACACGCTCTTGCAAACTATTTTAACTCAAAATTAACTTTTAAGTTAATTAAGATTTTAAGTAAGTGTTGTTGGAATCTTAGTGTTGCTGAATAAAATCTTAGTGGTGCTGAATAAAATCTTAGTGGTGCTGAATAAAAATTCACGCGACTGTGATGTAGTTTGTTTATAGCCTAACTTTAGCTTTTTACATCTGGTGATTGTATTCAGGCTTCAAAATTCATAAAAACTCTTTTAATTTGTGTTTATACTCTTTTTGCATTGGCTTGACACACAAAACCTGTAGGAATCATAAACGTTTTTTGCGAAATCTCCATGTAGAAGACATTCGCCCTTACGTGAAATCCCCAATCACATGGAATGCAATTTAAATGATTTGATTTTGCCTGTTAAAATTAGCATAATTGTGACCGCATATTAAGGCAGACTGGTGTCAAGAGCTCAGAGTTTAACCTCCATATGAAAACAGTGGTGTATGCAACATAAAAATCACACATATTTTATTGTACAATAGTACATGTTTAACCAGCGACTGACTCTTAAAAGTGTAAAATGATCATGCATTTTTGGGAATGGGAATGCTAACGCATTATGCATTATGTTTAAACTCTTGTGTAAACTAAGCATGGTTACCTGTGGTCCAGGACTCATGCAGGGAGCATTTCTGCTTGAACTTCTCCGCCAGATGATCGAGTCTCTCCAGGCGACGGATCTCGGTGAGGAGCCATTCCTCATAACCCTTCTCTACCTGCTCTAGACCTTTCCATGCATTAGCAATATCCTACAAACAAACACAGTTTCTCAGTGAGCTTCAAATCGCAACATAATCAATTAGTCAAATCAAAATCAATTGATCTGATTGGCTGAATTTCTAGAAGTGGGATTGGCTGTCAAGTTACAAGTAGTTTTCTACCAGACTGCTGGTTAGGAAGACTTAGGAACAGCATGCAGAAGGGTCAGAACAGCCAGACGAAAAAACAACAACTTTTCAGATGGTTTTGCGTGACTTACCGACACCATCTTCCCCTCGGAGGGCATGAAGGCCGGTCGGTTGCTCAGGCGGAGTTTGGTCTGCAGGGTGTTGAAGTTGATCTCCAGCTGGCATTTCTCCTGAACGCGTGGAGGCTTGTGGATGCGCCTGTAGTCGCGGAAATCCTCCAGCTTCTGCTGCATGGCGCGCATGGTCTGCTCCGCCACGCGGTTCTCCAGCCACGGGATGGTGCGACGGATCCACTCCAACAACTACAGAGAGATGGAGGAGTTAGAGACATGAGACAATGTAGGTCTTAGAGGGAACAGGATTAGGGCTCTTACAAAACTCTAGTGAGATGCCACCTAGATTGCTACCAGCCAAAATGTTTGCAGTATTGCGTGCATCATTTGCACAAAAACACTGACATTTTCATCCAAGATGGCTGACGGATTAAAGGAAAATGTCAACCCATCAAACAAAAAATATATTTTTCTGGCCAAAATATATTTTAAATAAATGTTGTTAACAATAAAGTTAAATGGAATATATTTCTGATATTGAAAAATATATTTAGTTTCAAACTTCATATGCCAAAATGTATTTCAGCAGCAAGAAAATACATTTGCAATCTTATAGTAACCCACATTTCGTCTAAATGCAAATGTGGATGGAACAGCCTACTAGAAATCAAAATGATTCATTAATGTTTATTCTTTAATAAATTATTCTTGAATTGTTTATATTTTTTTCAAATGTATTATATGTTCACACATGCTGTAGACAAGAAATAAAGTTTTTCTTCAAATGTGAAATGTGAATGTATTTTCTTGGATTGAAAGTATAGGGAAATGTAATTTTTTTAATGCTTTTAAAAATATTAGTGCTGTCAAACGATTAATCGCGATTAATCACATCCAAAATAAAAGTTTTGTTTACATAATATATATGTGTGTGTGCTGTGTATATTTATTATTTATATATAAATACACACACATGCATGTATATATTTCAGAAAAATATTTTCAAAATATATACTGTATGTGTGTGTATTTATATATACATAATAAATATACACAGTACACACACATATATTATGTAAATAAAAACTTACTTATTAAAATATTTTGGATGCAATTAATCGCGATTAACTATTTGACAGCACTAAAAAATATATTTGTATTTTTAAATATACATATTTAAAATACAATTTTAAAATAAAATTGTATTTCAAAAATCTATAAAACAAATGGCCAAAAAATATATATTAGTAGAAAATATATTATTTTCATAAATATATTTTGAAACATTTAAAAACCATCAAACCACAACAGCTTGACCTGTAGAAACCAGCTTGCTGACTGGTTAGGCTGGTTTAAGTTGTTTTCTAACAGAATATTGAAAATTATTCATATAAAACAGACACATTTGTGACCCTGGACCACAAAACCAGTCATAAGGGTCAATTTTTCGAAATTGAGATTTATGCATCATCTGAAAGCTGAATAAATATGCTTTCCATTGATGTATGGTTTGTTGGGATAGGACGATATTTGGCCGAGATACAACTATTTGAAAATCTGGAATCTGAGGGTGCAAAAAATCAAAATATTGAGAAAATCTAAAATTAAGTTCTGATATATTTACAGTAGGAAATTTACAAAATATCTTCATGGAACATGATCTTTACTTAATATCCTAATGATTTTTGGCATAAAAGAAAAATCTATAATTTTGACCCATACAATGTATTGTTGGCTATTGCTACAAATATACCCCAGCGACTTAAGACTGCTTTTGTGCTCCAGGGTCACATTTATTAAAATGGACTATTTCAGCCAATATTTGTATGAAACGTGTATTTCTATGTTTTCAACCTCCGAGTCCTAAAACCCAGAAACGAGTGAGCATCTTAGCACTTCCAGAGCCATCATCCTGAAGTCAATGGTCTATTCTGAATGGTTTTTGGGGACAATAAACATTATCAAGCCAGTCAGTTAAACTCATCTACTCACAGTATTCGTTGTGCTTATGATTGCGCTCTTGCAAACTGATGTTTAGCTTTTTACTTCTGCCAGTTGCATTTATGCTTCAACATGCAAGTTGTGTTAATTTAAGAAAGATTATCATGATGAACAAAGCGTGTAAGAATCATAAACCTTTGTTGGTCACAGAGTCTATTTTCAGCAAAAATCCAAAAATTCCCATTGGCTTTTAGCTGTGAGCTTCTGAAAGACGCTCACCTCACTGGCCAGTTTCTCATACTCCTCCATCAGCCTTTCGTTCTCCTGGTTCACAGCCAGAACCTTACAGATCCTGTTAGCCGCGGTCTCGGCCTGGAGACAGAGACACGGGGAAAGCAAGCATAACAAATTCAGTTTAGAGTTAATGCGCCTGTATCCAAGTCTCCTCACTTCATTTACTTTAATTTGCACGTTCATTTACTCTGCGTTACGCTGGAGAGCGTCTGGAAGCTTAATACATTACTGAAATCAATTTCCTTCAGTCATTTACACAAACCGATCCCAGTTTACATATCTTACACTGTAATAATGAAAAACATTAGTTTGAGAAATTTCATTCAAATCTGATTTGACTTGTGGTGACTTTTACCTGCTCGGCACCGGCGAAAGCATGGTAAAAGCAGGACACGTAGGTCATGATGGCTTTCTCATCAGGTTTAGGGGTGTTGACGATGTCTGAGCACAAAAAGAAAACACAGTATCAAGTTGAGTTCAACCAAAATCCCTTTACAGCAAGTCTGTGGTCATCTTGGCCAACAATTATCTATGAAAATTCAGAAATCTATTTGTCAAGATGAGATTTCAATAACATTCAGTAACATTTCAAATCAGTACTAAAATCGTCTAGGTTACTTGTGTAACCCTCCTTCCCTGAAGGAGGGAACGGAGACGTTACGTCAGTCGTGACTGACGAATTGGGATCTCGCCCGAGAGCCCAATCATCTTCGAGTGTTAACTAAACAAGCCAATGACAGTTGGCGTGCGTGTTTCGCCACGCGCACCCCGCCCCGCAGCGCGGGTATAAAAGGAGAGCGCGTGCAAACGCAGATCAGTTTTTCGCTGAGGAGCCGAGACTATGTGTCCCGGCCATACAGCGGTGGTACAGCAACTGTGGCGACGGAACGTAACGTCTCCGTTCCCTCCTTCAGGGAACGAGGGTTACACAAGTAACCTAGACGTTCCCTTTCAGTCAGTCACGTTAGTTAACACTCGAAGGTGATTGGGCTCTCGGGCGAGATCCCAATTCGTCAGTCACGACTGACGTAACGTCGAACGTGACTGACTGAAAGGGAACCCACAACACAGGTATCACAAATTATAATCATAAATCTAGTCATATTTATGATATTTGACTCCAATTTAAGCTCGAAAGCACCTCTACGGAAGATAATAGTATTAATATTGAGCTCAATACAGTTCAATGTTGATTCAGTTCATCAATTATCAAACAAATTCAAGCAGCTCTACAGAAGACAACAGTGTCATTACTCAACTCAATTTAGTTCAACGTTGATTCAAATCAGTTCAATAACAGTGTTAATGTTGTAAAATTCAACAATTATTTAAAAATTAATTTTAAAAATAATAATTTCAGCACTAAAGCAGCGTTACAGAAGCCAATAGTACTGATATTCAGTTCAATATAGTTCAATGTTGATTCAGTTCATTAAAATAACAGTCAGTGTTGAAAAGTTAATCAATTATGAATCTAATTCAATTTAAACTGTAAAGCAGCTATCATTATTCAGCTCTATAGTTTAGTGTTGATTCAATTTAGTTCAATTAATAGTTATAATGTTGTAAAATGCATCATGTGTGAAACAAATTCAATTTCAGCTCTACAGAAGCCAATTAATATTCAGCTCAATTCAGTTCAACGTTGATTCAATTCAGATCAATAACAGTGTCAATGTTGCAAAGTTAATCAATTATGAGACAAATTCAATTAAACTGTAAAGCAGCTCTACAGAACACACTAGTATCGTTATTCAACTCAATTCGGTTCAGTGTTAATTTAGTTCATCTGAATAACAGTATTGATGTTACAAAGTTAGTCATTATTCAGCTCAATTCAGTTCAATTAACAGTGATAATGTTGTAAAATGCATCATTTATGAAACAAATTCAATTTCAGCTCTACAGAAGCCAATTAATATTCAGCTCAATTCAGTTCAATGTTGATTCAATTCAGATCAATAACAGTGTCAATGTTGCACAGTTCATCAATTATGAGACAAATTCAATTAAACTGTAAAGCAGCTCTACAGAACACACTAGTATCGTTATTCAACTCAATTCGGTTCAATGTTAATTTAGTTCATTTGAATAACAGTATTGATGTTACAAAGTTAGTCATTCAGCTCAATTAACAGTGATAATGTTGTAAAATGCATTATGTATGAAACAAATTCAATTTCAGCTCTACAGAAGCAAATTAATATTCAGTTCAATTCAGTTCAATGTTGATTCAATTCAGATCAATAACAGTGTCAATGTTGCAAAGTTCATCAATTATGAGACAAATTCAATTAAACTGTAAAGCAGCTCTACAGAACACACTAGTATCGTTATTCAACTCAATTAATTTCAATGTTAATTTAGTTCATTTGAATAACAGTATTGATGTTACAAAGTTAGTCATTATTCAGCTCAATTCAGTTCATGTTTTGTACTCATCCAATATCATCAGTGCAGCTGAATCAATAATATACCGAATATTAATTGTCTTTTAAAGCCCAACTGAGCAAGCCAAACACAATTTCAAGTTTTAAGATCAAATTATACTGTACATGTGCATAAAGAGTAAACAGGCCCTGTCAAACAGACTCATATTGTATATTACAGGATCTCGTCTGCCAGAACAGGATTGATTTCAGAGGCGATCTCTGACTCACCTTCAGCGTCCAGCATCTTTGGGATGTCCAGGTACTTCTCTGCCACCTCAAACGCAGTGTTCAGGTTTCCAATAGGGTCGTCCTTCAGAGGATCAACAAAATCATTCACTCCATAGCACTTTCCATCACTATGGTACATTTTGTTGCTATGTGACTTTTTAAAAAAAGCATTACGGACACATGCTGTCATTTTTAAGAGTTTTATGCCTTATATTGTACTCTATTTGTAGACAGTGCCTTATATAGAACTATCAGTTTTATAATGAATAATTTGAGATTTCTGAATCAATCATTTGAGCCTGCAAATCATAATCTGACTGGATAAAACAAGAGCTTTGGACTCAAGGATAAACCTTTCGAATTAAGAGGATTGAAATGAAAACACTGTGTGTTGAATTGGCATAAAACTCCACACAGGGAATAAATGTAAAAGATTTGAAGAGCGAGTGACTGGTAGAAAAGACAGAAGCGGCACCTTTCTGAGTTTAGAGTAGTCGATGAGGTCTGGTCTGTGTCTGTGGATGAGGGCGCACAGAGCGAGGCCATCCTTCCAGCTGACAACAACACAGACAACATATTAGAAAACCTCTCAGAGAGTACTGATCAGCCATTAAGAAAGACAAATAGTAACTTTACAATTAGGTTCCATTTGTTAACATTAGTTAAATGCATTAGTTAAAAAGAACCAACAATGAAAAATACTCAAGCATTGATTTATCTTGGTTAATGCTAATTTCAACATTTACTGATACATTGCTAAAGTTAAAAGTTGTATCTGTTCATATTATTTAATATACATGAGCTGACAGTTGAACAGTTTATAGTATTTTTATTAACCATGTTAATTTTAGATAATGCATTAACTAACGTCAACTAATGGGACCTTATTGTTAAGTGTTATCATAAAAATAAATGCATTAATAAATCTGTGTTTCATGTAAGTATGAAAAGTTTAGCATGAAAACTAATGCTTATCATAAACTTTGAAGTAAAATAAATAAATAAATATGATGCCAATTGCCAAACAGTATCAAAACAATGAAGCTAAAAGTTTTATATATATATAATGAAAAATTAATTGTTAATAAATAAAATCCAATTAGTTGCATTTCAGGTCTATTAAATGTTGTAAGTGATGACTTTCAAAACATTTTTTTTTACAAAAAAATATATAAGTACTGGTAGAAATATTGACAATATTGCCGTTGATAGTATTTGGTATCACAACTGAAAATAAAGTGCAATAAAGAATGTTTTTCAAACACATGTGAGTTGAATTGAATTGCAGAGGTTTCTGAAAGGCAAAGACAGCATAAAGTAAACACAGAGAAATTTGACTTGAGAACTTTGTTTATATTTGGTAAAACAATTTTTTTTTAAACCATTTTAAACATTTACATTTAATCCAATCAAATATAATACCATTAATTAATCACATATACACTACCATTCAAAAGTTTGGAGTAAGGTTTTATATATTTATTTATTCATTTGTTTGTTTGTTTGGGGAAGAAATTGATACTTTTATTCAGCAAGGATGCATTCACTTCTCCAAAAGTGACAGCAAATACATTTATAATGTTATAAAATATTCAGTTTCAAATAAATGCTGTTCTGAACTTTCTATCTGTTTGAACTTTCTCTTGAGATCTGACTGTGTCTGTCATCGCTCTCACCTGATGTGGAAGTTCTGTACGTTGACGTTCCTGTAGGGGGCCGTCTTCCTCTGACACCACAGCAGCAGACCCTCTTTAGCAGACGTCTCTGTGGAGTCACACAACAGAAAACCATTCACATGAAGCGATAATGAGTGTTTAATTAGTAACATGACCAGTCACGTCGTGTCGTCAATGTCTCTGACACAACACAGATGTGTGTTTGTACCCTCCACAGAAATGTCCTGGATAGCGAAACGGAGAATGATGGTCCAGATCATTCCCAGAGTCATTTTCAAATTGCCATCAACAATCTCTGCAGAGAAAAAGAGAGAATTTTGGATCAAGTTAATATATATGTTAGATCAAGTTAAAAATAACATTATAGTATGTATATATATATATATATATATATATATATATATGTAGTTATGGTTTATAAATATATTGTTAGTTTGTAGTAGGCTGTCAGTTTAAATATTTACATTTATTTTAGTAACATGACCAGTCCGGTTGTGTCATGAATGTCTCTGACAAAATGCAAATGTGTGTTTGTACCCTCCACAGAAATGTCCTGGATAGCGAAACGGAGAATGATGGTCCAGATCATTCCCAGAGTCATTTTCAGATTGCCATCAACAATCTCTGCAGAGCAAGAGAGAGAATTTTGGACGAAGTTGGTTAATATTGTTACGGTTTACACATTTAGTTTATATTATATATATATATATATATATATATATATGTAGTTATGGTTTATAAATATATTGTTAGTTTGTAGTAGGCTGTCAGTTTAAATATTTACATTTATTCTAATTAATTAAATGGTAAAAAATGTAATAACCATGACTAATCACATACACACTACTGTTTAAAAGTCTGGTCTCAGTAAGTTTTTTTTTTTTTTAAAGACATTGATACTTTAATACTTTTAATATTCTATTCTTCAAAGAATCCTGAAAAAATAATAAGCAGCTCAACTTTTTTCAACATTGATAATAATAAGAAATGTGCTTTCTGAAGGAATAAATTACAGGAATAAATTACATTTTAAAATATATTCTAATAGAAAATGGCTATCTTAAAATGTAATAATATTTCACAATATTGCTGTTTTTACGGTATTTTTCCATCAAATAAATGCAGCCCTGGTGAGCAGAACATTTAAAAATCTTACCGACCCCAAACTTTTAAACAATGGTGTATCTGCTTAAACTAAAATAATTTAAGAGATTACATTATCAGTATAATATTTTCTTTATTTCTCTTTCGGTGAACAAAATTGATTGCACTAAATTAACTATAAAACTGACAGCCCTAGTCTCAATAGATCAATACTAGTGTAAGTTTCCCACCTTCAGCACCAATGGACACCAGTTTGACTCCTTTGCTAGAGATATAATCCAGAGCTTTGTTGACGTTGGCGATCTTGTGGAAACGCATCTTTCCTTTGTCAGGCTTGGGCAGTCTCTCACCTGCCGATCAATCAGACCAAACTCGTGTCAGTTATCGAGGTAAATTGATCATTATTTTGATGGTGAAGTGTGCAGCTCTAGTGGAATTGCACAAATAATGACTGTTTCCAAACCGGTTTCCCCAACACTCTTACCGCCCTTTCTATCCTACTTCTGACATGTAAAACAAACAGCTGAATATTTTTTTAAATACACAGTTTTTACACTATTTTCAAAAATTGCACATCTCGCCTTTAAAATCCACTTAAGTCAAATGATGCAACCCGTTTTGATTGCAGTTGAAAGCCATTTCAAGTCATGAACATATTTTGTTTGCTTAGGAATAACATGCACTGATGAGTGGTTCACAGTAAGACCAGGAACATGCATTAAGAAAGTAAAAAGAGACTACTCGTCTGTCCTCTGAGGATAAAATAAGCATTACATGAATCATGAGCTGCATTCATTGCACGCTGCTTCAGTCTGTAGTCACAAACACCTGTTAAATATGACTGTACAAGACGACAGCTGATTTTGCTACAGCATACGACTTCATACTTGTGGCATGAAATATCAATGATTGTAGTGTTAAACTGTTTCTGTTAATCAGTCTCTGTCCTTACGTTTGCTTCACTAGATCAATGCACCCTAATATATCAGTATAATGGAGGTCTTTCCTATATCTTCCCGTCGTTACCTGAGATGACCTCGAGCAGCAGCATGAGTTTGAGGCCATTCCTGAAATCCTCTTCAATGTTCTCGATCTGAGTTCCCGCTTTACGCAGATGAGAGTTACACCACGCCGTGAACGTCTGAGAGACAAGGACAGATTATTAATGTTTTTCATCAGTAACATAAAAAACTTACATTTTCAATGTATTTCACATGCACAAACCATGTTCTGTTGTGAGAACTATATTAGATACAGTATAAAATAATATTTAACATGAGATAAAACTAGCAAAGTAAGTCATATGGAAACCTGTTTCCACCACTTCCACTATTTAATTTTTTTTTAAGAATTGTGAGATAAACTCAGAAATGCGATGAAAAAGTTTTGTGAAATTGTGAAATAAAAAGTCGCAATTACCTTTTTTTAATATGTAAACTCAGAACTGCATTTATACCTCACAATTCTGACTTTTTCTCAGAATTCCGAGGAAACAAAAGTCAGAATTGTGAGATAAAAAGTCACAATTACCTTTATTTTTATTCTTCCATAAGAAGTAAATAAAAACAATCAGATTCACTATGTAAAAAATACTTTTTAGAAGTCAAAAGTTTAACTTTTAATAAACTTGTTTTCCTTGTGTTCGTTCCGTACCTCACAAAAGCGTGTTCTGTGTGAACTTATATTTGTGAGAAGTATTTCTTATATATTTGTTATATATTTGATATTTGTTCTTTAGAGAAGGAATAATCTAAAATTGTAATGTTTTAAACGTCTAATAATGCAAATGTGAACAAAATCGCCTGTTAAACCCCATTGCTTCAATTTGCACATTACAGCGTGTTTCTGCAGGTTTCCAGAGATGATTACAATTCAGAGATCTTATAAATATCCCTCACTTCCAGCGTGTGCGATGCCAAGAAGAAGCAGTGTGTGCCAGTGATGTGGGTGTTACGGGGCAAAGCTGCTGGATGTAAATGAGTGTCTGTGTGTGTTTGTTTGTGCTGAGCGGCAGAATAAAGTATGAAAGCGGAGGAGGAGTGATGAACAACAGGACATGTAGGAGTTCCTGATGAGAGAGACACGGATGGAAAGGTTGAAAGAGGGAAGGAGGGAGGATTGAACAGAGATGGAAGCCAGGGGTCACTGTAGGGCCGAGTGAGTGGGACGCACCGCACAGAGACCAAATATAGACCGCACAAACTAGAGAGATGAGGAGAGACGAAGAGAAAAGACACGGGAATGAGAGATGAGACCAAATGAGAAGAAAGGAGAAGAGCTAAAATGAGACAAGAACAGAAGGGGAAATGAAAGAGGAGACGAAAACAGAGGGGAAGAGACAATACAAGCTGAGAGAGGAGAGAAGAGATGTGTATAAAAGAGAAGAAATTAGATAATGAAAGTTGAGATGAGAAATGAGAAGAAAATAGAAGATGAAATGAGATTAGGAAAGAACATAATGAGAGTTGAGAGAAAAGAACGAGAGATAAGGGAAGAGAAGAGATAATAACAGTCGAGAAAAAAAGAGATGAGAAGAGAAAAGAGAATGAGACCAAATGAGAAGAAAAGAGACAAAATAAGATAAGAACAGAATGTAAAATGGCATAAGAGAAGAGATAATGAAAGTTGAGAAAGAGGAGAAGAAAAGAAATGAGATAATATAAGTTAGAGACAAGAGAACGAGAGATAGGACCAAACGAGGAGAGAAGTGACCAAATTAGAAGAAGAGAAGATGTGAATAGATGAGAAAAGAAAAGAGAAATCAAAGTTGAGTGGAAAAAGAGCCAAAATGAGACAGGAACAGAAAAGAGGAAGAAAGATGAGACGAGATGAAAACAAGCGATAACACGAGTTGAGAAAGAAGAGAAGAAATAATAAAGTTGAGACCAAATGAGAAGAGGAGAAAGAAAAGAGATAACAAAAGTTGTGAACAGAAGATAGAAGACGAGACGTGAGAAAGAGAAGGAGATGAGACAAATGAGTGACAAGACAAGAACACAAAGGAAATGAGAGACCATTATTTTACCATTAAAAACATATTAACAAACAAAAAACTAATTTTATATCCCACTACCAGTTAAAAAAGAGGTGTCATCCTCCACAAATCCTTATTTACACACCACTTACTCTCAAACATCAGCAGAATAACTTCATCGCCTCGCCACGAGCAAACCGTTCGAGATATCAAAAATCCCTTCGCAATTTAGCATCCCCAATGTCTTGAGATCATGATCGCTGTTCACTCGATAGCGTTCATATTCCAGTCGTATCCTAGATTCAACTAATGCCTTAAAGGGGTCATATGATGTTGCTAAAAAGAACATTATTTGGTGTAATGAAATGTGTTTATGCGGTTTAAGGTTCAAAAAACACATTATTTTCCACATACTGTACATTATTGTTTCTCCTCTATGCCCTGCCTTTCTGAAACGCTACAAAGCTCATCGGTCTGAAAAGCGAGGTGTGCTGTGATTGGCCAGCTATCCAGTGCGTTGTGATTGGCCGAATGCCTCAAGCGTGTGACGGAAATGTTACGCCCCTTACCATACTGTGATGCCGTCTCCCAGCAGGAGGAGCACATCCCATCATCGGTTCTCTTTTAGCAGTTCAGTCAATGTACTGTTAGGAGTAACTGAATAACTCGGGATATTGATTTATTTCACGTCAGAGGGAGTGTCAGGCACGTTTATAAACCGAATAACTTAAGTAATTTGTGGATTAGTGCGTACTGGAGACGTGAACCGTTTCAAACGATTCAGTTTGATTTGGTGAACTGGTTCGACCGGTTCACTAAGAAGATCCAGTTAAAAAGAACGATTCGTTCGCGATTTGGACATCACTAGACGAGACAAAACCAATAAAACCCATTACAAATGAGGCATGAGGCATTTGTTGCATCCAGTGGGGACATAATTACGGATTATAATGACTTACTGTCGCGTTGCATCGCGCCAGGAAAACATAAAACCATGTCTGCATTTGTGATCAGAGAAACAACAAACAACAAGCCCTACTCTACACTGCTTAAAACGCGCGTTTGAATCATCAGTGGCAAATTATTTAAATATAAAAAACGTACTCACAGTCTGTGAGTCAGAACAGCCAGAATGTCCTTGCAAAGTTGGAACTGCCCAACTTTATAGAAACAGCCGTTGTGCCACAGACGCATTAGGCTACTGGTTCAGGAAACAGTCCTCATCCATCCTCCATAAAATGTGCTGCACACATCTGAATATTTGGGTTGAACTGTTCTGGAACAGTGTTGTAAATACAACTTAACCGCTGATTTCTAGTCGTGTCCTTTTCTGGAAGTCCAAACAAAGTAGTTTCGTTTTCACAACAAAACACACAGCGTCTTCACGACATGGCGGCGGCGGCAACAATACTACAGCCAGAATAAAAGTTACGCCTTCTTTCTTTGCGTGAACATTTGGGTGGCGTGTTATGCAAATCTTCCCACATAGTGAGGTAGACATGTGGGGGCGTGTTAGAACGAGCCATTTTAGGTAGGCTGACTCTTAACTTGTATAAAGAATATCTCTTTGGATTTGAGACTTTAGTCTTTGCAACTTTACAGATCTTCTTTATGCACCAAGAGCTTGTAACACTCCAAAGAGAAAGGAAAAATTAAAATCGCATCATATGACCCCTTTAAAAAAATTGTCCATTTCAGCTCTATCAGTCTTCCAGATAGCTGATTTCGCCTGTCCAAGCAAGAAGTTGGAAAAAGTGCAAATCTTCTTTTTATTGCGAGAGTATTCATACCCATACATGAACACTGTTTTTGAGAAATTTAAACCTAACCCATTGAAAATTCCATTTAAGATATTAAAAAGAGGAAATGATTTACAACATTCACAAAAAAAAACATGAAAAACAGTATCAGGTTCTTTGCACACAGTAAAACGCGAAGACCAAGAGAGAAGAAAAGTGAGATGACGCGACATGAGAAGAGATGGCATGAGAGAAAGAAGAGAGATGAGAGTGTGAGAGATGAGACAGGAAGAGATGAGAGGAGACAAAATAAGATGCAAAACAAAGAAAAGAGAAAACTGGTGAGATGTGTATAGAGGCAGATGCAATGAAAGAACCTGGAAACTGAAACAATAGAGGAGCTGATGGAGAGAAATACACAATCAAACACACCTGATTCAGGTCATCAGCTCATTAGTAGAGAATCCAAGACCTAAAATTCGTGTGTCAGAGAAAGGAGACATGCAAAATGAGCAGTGTTGGGGTGCCTCCAGGACCAGGGTTGGGAACCACTGCTTTAAAGAACCCAGAAACAAAACACTGATCTGAAGAACCTGTAATGAGACTATAAGAACTCAGCTGGAAGAAATGGGTCTTAATTAGAAGAGGGTTCTTTCTGAACATGAAAGAAGGAACCAAAATGACGAGTCTTTATTTTGTGTATTTCTCTCCATCAGCCCCTCTATTGTTTCAGTTTCCAGGTTCTGTCATTGCATCTGCCTCTAATCACATCTCACCAGTTTTCTCTTTTCTTTGTTTTGCCGCGGCTTCAGCGTCTATTTATAGTGTAGGGGGCGGGCGCTTCAGATTCTAGAGAGCATTTGATTGGACAGAAAGTTTGATGAGAAGCTGAAGTACGATGTGACGTCAAAAAAATCGTTGAACCGTTTTGGCGGAAGTGACGAACTGCAAGCTTTGAATGATTATATCTTCTAAATGCGAATTTTGTCACTGTTTTAGAGCACACTACCTTATAGATAACCTTAAGACTAACATATTGATACTAGCACCCAAAAAAACTTTAATTTTGATTTCATGGGGACTTTAAAATCTCAGGGGGGAATTCGAGGTTAAATGGGTTCAGCGGACAAAAACAGTTGGGAATCCCTTAATATAAAGTTGTAAATAAAGAGAGATTAAAAGAAGTTCAGGCTGCGAAAGCCTCTTTGGTTTTAAGTGGAACCGCCGCGAGCCTTTAGAGGAGACAAAATGGAGAGGAGATGGACGGATTGAGATACAACGGGGGAAATGGAAAGGTCGAAAAGAGGCAGAGCAGGAAGGGTGATGGAGGAGGGGTGACAATGTCTAAATGTGGATGTCACAGGACACCTGAGACACAGCTGAGAGAGAGGGATTCCTGAGGAGCAAAGTAAGAGACACAACAGGAGC